ACAGGGCGCTCATATTATAAGGTAAGGTTATAAAAACCATCTTTTAAGATCATTTTAGTGAAAGTTTCATCCTTCAAGGCGTACCATTCACTGCTGAAATACTAAACAACCTGCTTCCATGGCCGAGATACAGGGCGCCCATATTATAAGGTAAGGTTATAAAACCACCATTTAAGATCATTTTAGTGAAAGTTTCATGTTCCTATCTCATAGAAATTAAGAACAATGATGAATAAATAATTTTCGAGCAAAATTTAAATGGCCGGCTGAATATATTACCGCAGGAGCCGCGGCCGCGGAATTTAAATGACCACGTCAAAGGGTTAAGAATGGGAATGGTTATTGGCCACTACAATAGGTCACATCTCCGCAAATGCATTAAGGGTAGTAAATTCAGGATACATTTCTGTGAAGCCACGGACATCTTGTCACCCAGCCATTGAAGTTAAAATGTTTGTTAATAGTTTTTCCCATTAATTGCGAGTATTAACCCTAACATACAGATGCCAGTGGCGTTCATAATTTGTATTATTATTCAGCCAGAATTCTGGTATAAACACCATATGTTTGCATATACACTCAACTCTCGATTATTTGGGATAATGATGGGGATGGAAATCACGATTAATCGAAAAGCCAGTTGAGACAGATTTTATTAAAAGTAGTACTGTAATACTGTACTTTCATAATACTATAGGCCTACCTGTATTTAAATTTATTCAACCTCATTTTTATGTCATCTCATGGCCTATGTAATACTTTTTTTACATTACACAGAAGTATGAATTAGTTATTTCGATCACAGTGTTCAACAACATCCAACACTTTTTACGAATATTCACACTTAACACTTAAAAAAAATTTAATATTGTCGTTTGCTTTTTTGTGGCATTTTCCTTTTTACGGATATCCGTACAGAGCCTACATAATATTAGCTTGTCACTTAATAAACTCTTCTCTTCACTCTCAAGATAGTCTAGTAAGGATTCCAAATGATTAAGAGCAGCGCCATGTGATATTTTCTTACTAGCAGCAGCGTCCAAATCTTCCTCATCCTGACTTTCTTCCCGCTCTTCTGGCTGCACCCCCACTGCTTAACAATTCGAAGCCTGGTTCACATGAGTTTCTGTTCAATACTTATCACAACACGCTTCCTTTTACAGGGGACCAAAAAATGCAGAGCTCGGTTCACACTAGTGCGAAAACAGTGTTACAACTCACCATGTGAAACAAAAGTGAATGAATATTAAACCAACATATAAGCCTCAAAAAAGCCCTGGTTAAGTTTCAAACCGGTTTATCCGCCCCCGGATAATCGAGAGTTGAGTGTACTACATTTGCAGCCATCATCAGGCACATGAAACTTGCATGTTGTATATTTATATTGTCACATGTTGGGTAGGTCATGCGTCAGATAACTTTATGCCATCTTGGACCAAGCAAATTTATTGCAAATTTGCTCTTATGCTCACACAGTTCACAATTACTTATCCTGCTGGAGTCACTGCCATTCACTCGACACAACTAAATAACAGTGGACTTCAACTCACTCCGGCAAATGCTAGACTGCAACTGACTCAGCGACTTCACAGTCTGCACTGTGTCACTCCTGATTGCACACTCCCTGGTCACATACTGCTCAGCCAGCTTTTTATACCGTTCCCTGTTGCCTGTGTCAACAGCGGTGTCCCGTGTTACGTCACAGTTGGAAGTGCTGTTATGTCACCGCTGGCGGGGGAGGGGGTTTCCTGCATAGTGCAAATACGTCACAATATATTGCCATTATGTTATAAAATGTATTGCATATTAAAATTAAAAAAAAAAAATTTAAATGAAATTAAAATTGAGTTATCTCTCCCCTCCCCTTTTGCTTTTTGTTATGTTCTGTTCTGTGCTGCCAGATTTTTAGGTATAGGTCACCAGTGTGTTCTTGTTTTTCGTGGGATTCTTCAATCTTATGTTTATGCTATAGTTTATCTCTTTATTTTATGGTCTGGCAGTATGTGGATTATGGCTTTGAAGCAGATATAATTATCTAACTTGGCAGATTTTAACTACTTACGGTAACCAAACAAATGTCCTGATATAGTAGGTTCATTGGGAAGTTAAGAGAATGATTGACTTTGTGGAGATGAAACAGGAGAGTGGGCTCAAGTGTTGATACTCCTGATTTATATTTGGAAGGCACCCAGTTCAAATCTCAGCTGGGACATGAACTATTGAAGTTCTTCTGTGAATTTCCTCGTTCACTACTGATAAATAGCAGGAAGAGTGTGACCACAGCAGCTGCCTTCCACATCCTTTCCAGTTACCTGGTACTGTGTAGGTACTGGTAATGATGATAAATAAAGTGCAAATAAAATAATGTTGGGGATGTTTGGCTTGCCTTCTGTTTGATGCACACTGAACTGACAGCCTAATAAAAACAAGGAAAGAAGAACCAAGGTGAAATGTGTTGCTACATGCCGGATTCTGCGTAAGGTATAGTAGTTAAGCCCCGGAGGGAAATGTTGTGAATGTATCCGTTGTGAATTGAAGTCGTCTTCATTCATTGTATCTTGCAGTTTTTCCCCCAGCCTGTACGTCGTCCTGACTCAAGTGACGACCGTCACGTAATTGCTCGACATGCTGAGATCTACCCAAAAGAAGATGAGCTGCAAGCTGTTCAGCGTATCGTATCACACACTGAGAAGGCACTGAAATTTGTGTCAGACCATTTAGCAGACATGGCTACTGCTGCAGCTAAACAGACAGCTGTGCCTAAGCCTCTTGTTGGCACAGGTGCTAAGACTGCAATAGGTGTTGGGGCCAAGGTTGGAACACCACCAGTTAAAACTGGCACAATAGGTACATAACAAATTTTGCAAAATTGTAGTATGTGTAAGAGATTAATGCTTCATATCATTGTAGTGTGTGTTAACAAGTAGCTGCAAATAAAAGCAGAAAATGGCAGTAGAATGCTTAAGTCAGTATTGCAGTGTTCGCCTTTGCTTAACACATTGGTGACAGTTCACGAGAATCCTTGTGTTTTTCTGACTGTTGGTGGGTGTCAGGGCCCTGCAGTTCTCTTTCTCGTGCACACATCAACTTTCTATTTGCTGATTTGTGTAAGAATAATTTCTTAGTTCATGATCGCAGAGTAGAGGCCTTGTAGATGTGTATGCAATATTTTCTCCAGCATGTACTACTTCTGTTGTTTTAAAATGTGTTCATAAAAGCAGGTTTATATCACCTGGTGCACACCGAAATGTAATTGAGCAGCATGGCCCATCAGTGTGTTTGAAACACAGTGTTCCTATAGATAGCAGTGTTGCCTGGTTTAAAATGACAGAGATTAGGTATTATTGGCAAAGTTAATATTTGTAGACAAAAATAATATTTGCACGTGTACACAAATAATAGATTTTATGCTTGATTCAGTAAAGATGATCACTGCAACAGTTTCTCATTGAAATTTCAACAGGCTCTGCTAATGCACGTGATTAGTTGCTATGATGACATACCTAGCTCGCTTTGATGAACAACTGAAGAAAATTAATTTGTTCCCTATTATCATGTCTGAGCAACTTGGTAAGCAGTTAGAATGCCTTATGTAAGCAAAAAGTTTTATAACAAGTGCAATATTAATTATTACTTTAATCTAGTTTCAAGTATCTGTTCAGGTAAACCTGCGCCTGGATTGAAACCTGCTGTTGGAACCAAGGTAGTTCCTGGAGCCTCACCAGTAGCTAAGCCTGCAGGCCAAGGTCCAGTACCATCATCAGCAATGACAAATAAAACAGAACCTGTAGAGAAACCTAAACCAGATATGTCGAAAGAAGACAAGAAGGAAGATGGTCGTGATGGGAATCTGTAAGTTATTCTGCTTTATGGAAGTGTTCTTATAGTTAAAGTAGTAAATACGATGGGGTACCCAAAAGAAACCGAACTAATTTTTTTTTGTGGGCAGAGCTTTTGTAGTACCGCGTTTTGCCGCTATGAGTGCATAGAGCTAACATTCCTGAGTCGATAAACCGACTACCGTTCCTTCAGAAGGCAAGGACTAGTTTTGGCAGAGTTTATAGTGACAACTGTTTTGTGTGATCGTCGTTTTTACAATGGCAGATTTTCGTGAACAGTGTGCGGCGGTGAAATTCTGCTTTTTGCTCGGGAAAAGTGGAACAGAAACTCTTGAAATGTTAAAAACGGCGTACAAGGACGATGCTATGGGGAAAACTCGAGTGTTTGAGTGGTTTTCCTGTTTCAAAAATGGTGAAATGTCAATTGATGACAAACCTCGTTCTAGTCATCCATCCACGGCCCGAACGCATGAAAATGTTGAAAAAATTCGTGAAATCATCAAGGAAGATCGACGACAGACCATTGAAGAAATTGTGGAGCTGTCGAGAGTGACTTGGAGCTCAGTGGCCAGATTTGTGGCAGTCGGGTGACTGGTTTTTCCATCATGACAATGCCACTGCTCACACAGCCCTGTCCGTATGACAGTTCTTGACCAAAAATGGTATGACCCCTGTTCCTCACCCTCCATACTCACCCGACCTCGCCCCGTGCAACTTTTTTTTTTGTTTCCTCGAATGAAAAGAGACATGAAAGGAAAAAACGACGGAGGTGCTGTCAAGCATCTCAAAAGATGAATTTAGACAATGTTTTGAAAAATGGAATAAAAGACTAGACAAGTGTATTAGTGTAACTGGAGAGTACTTTGAAGGGAATTGAAGGTTTGTGCTTACAATTTGAATAAATAAGTTTAAAAAAAAATAAGTTCGGTTTCTTTTGGGTACCCCCTCATATACTACAAGTATTATGCATTCATTCTGTCTATATCTAAAAACCACCCTGTTTATTTTTCAAAACAATGTTTTGGAGACTGGATTCTGTCCCAGTCCTCAGCTAAAACTTCAGTTGGGTCACATAGAGCTAGTCACTATCTCCAGACACCTATGCCAGTTTCAAGAAGGTATATAAATCAGACAACACAAACCATCTGCGAGAGCTAAGAAAATACTCATTTACTGAAACTCCACACATATGGGGCTTTGCACCAGGGAACTATCACAATAGAAATAATCACCGGAGAGAATGAAGGAATGTATAAGGGGTGGGCCTTCTTGGCCCTTGCACCCCAACCTGCAGTGATCTATTGTGCTTTCACTGGATAGAAAAAATACTCCATATCGTACTAAAACAAGAAAAGCAAATTTCTTTCCACTCCAAATACACTTGATGGCGTTGTAGTCTCTTGACTTCTGCTGTGATGATGGGAGTCCAGGTTTGGAGAGATATCCAAACTGGGTTGACTGACTGGATGGTCCAGCAGAGACAGGTGGGTTGATAACTTGTATTTGCTGTATGTGGTATTGGGCTCAGTCTGGAAGACCTGCCCTTCATTCCAACATATTTTGTGGCCTTGCTAATATGCATGTAGGGCTAATTTTGATTTTTCAAGGAAACCCCATGTCAAGTTATATTTTTGTTCCGTAATGCATACTTCAAAGAGTCTGCTTGTTTCGCCAATGTAACATCTGCCGCAGTTGCATGGGATGCTATACACACACTGCTTAATCTGCTGAGCATCTCTTAATGAATCCAGTTTTCAGTGATGTCCCACAGTGTGTATGTTTAGTTTGAGTTGGAAAGGGTTCCTGATGCATCTCAATTTCTCAGAGGTGCCCTTGACATACAGGATGGCTACAGTGCCCTGGTATACTGTGTCTCAAGAGGGACGATTTCTTGCCGATGGCTTCATTACAGAGTCAATGAACTCTTTTGAATATTCACTGAGCATCAGATCATGTCTTATGTTTCTAATTTCATTGTCGAAATCCTTCTGGTTTTGGCATGACCTTCGCTCAGTTGACCAAACTATGAATGCCACCCCTTTTTACATGATGCGGGTGGTTGGACTTGAAGTGAAGGTAACAACCAGTATGGGTAGGATTTCAGTACATTTTTGTGGTCAGTTTTAGACCCCACTCCATAACCAAAAGGTCCAAGTATGGGAAGGTCCAAAACTGCTCACAAAAGTGTATCGAAAGCGTTCTCATACTCGTTAGCTTCACTTCAAGTCCAACCACCCACATCATGTAAAAAGAGTTGTTCATAGTTTGGTCAACCAAGTGAAGGTCATGCCAAAACCAGAAGGATTTCGACAATGAAATTAGAAACATAAGACATGATCTGATGCTCAGTGAATATTCAAAAGAGTTCATTGACTCTGTAATGAAGCCATCGGCAAGAAATCGTCCCTCTTGAGACACAGTATACCAGAACACTGTAGTCATCCCATATGTTAAGGGCACCTCCGAGAAATTGAGATGTGTTGGGAACCATTTCCAAATCAGTACCATCTTCAAAACTAAACATGCACACCATGGGACATTGTTGAAAACTGAACCTGTTAGAGATGCCCAGCAGATGAAGTAGTGTGTGTATAGCATCCCATGCAACTGCGTCAGAAACAACTGGTGAAACATGCAGACCCTTTGTAGTACGCATTAAGGAACACAAATATAACTTGACATAGGGTTTGCTTGATAAATCAAAATTAGCCCAACGTGCATACGAGGAAGACCACAAAATCTGTTGGAATGAAGCGAAGGTCTTCCCGATTAAGTCCAACACCACATACAGCAAATACAAGTAGTCAGCCCACAGGTCTCTGCTGGACCATCCAATCAGTCAACCCAGTTTGGATATCTCTCCCATCATCACAGCAGAAGTCAAGAGGCTACAACGCTGTCAAGTGTATTTGGAGTGGAAAGAAATTTGCTTTTCTTGTTTTAGTATAATAAGGATTATTTTTACTCTCCAGTGACAATTTCTATTGTGATAGTTCCCTGGTGCAAAACCCCATACGTGTGGAGTTTCAGTACCTGAGTATTTTCTTAGCTCTCGCAGATGGTTTGTGTCGTGTTTGATTTATGTACCCCATCTTGAAACTGGCATAGGTGTCTGGAGATAGGGACGAGCTCTATCTATTGGACCCTACTGGGAAGGTTTTAGCTGAGGATGGGGACAGAATCCAGTCTCAAAAGCGTTGTTTTGAAAAATAGAGTAGTTTTTAGAGATAGGCAGGAGGATGAATAATTTCCAAAAGCCCAATACTTGTAGCAATATACCATTGTCACAGACTTTTAGATCTAATAAATATACTTATTTTTGTGTAACAGCTTATTTTTACTAATTGTTTCTCTATTGTACACAAGGTTAGGAAAGTGCTGGACGTTGTAATTTGTATATTTATTTTTCAGCATTCTCAGTATTTATAATTTTGGGTGAGTGTTTAATTAAGCCAAATATGCCTGTATTTCCAGGTATGAAATTTGTCAGAAATGTGCAAGTATTAGTGTGTTTTGGTGAATTAGATATATCAAAATGGTGATCCAATTTGTGGATATGAAGGAAAATCTTTTTCTCCATTTTACTGAACATGGCTGGATGTACAGTTTTGCATTCTGCATTGATGTATGTCAGTAGTAATGAACTGAATAGCAATTATACAGGGATTGAACTAGCTTGTCTTACTTTTAAATGTTTGCCAAAATAGACATTTGAAAATAAGCTTTCACTGTGGGATCTCCAGTTAGAATCAAATAATATGGCACAGTTCCCAACTGTAAGAATGAGAAAGCTGGCACTAAGAAATATACAGAAGAAATTCAGAAAAAAATATGAGGCTGTTTTCAGTGTCTTTTCAGTGCCATTCAGTGTTAATGTTGTAACTGTTAAGATAGATGTCAGTTTTAGACGATAGATTTCAGTGCAGTGAAGAACTGAAGAGTAAATTTTGAGATATGCTTCTTGACTTTATAAGCTCTCTTACATGTTGATAAATTTCTAGTGTTTAGAAAACCCGTGCTTGGAAGTACGCTATCTCTGTGGACAATTCTGTCGTGAATGTTAGTAAGAATGTGTCCAGAAACCAACTTGATGGAAGACGAGAAAGTTTTAGGATTGTATAGGTTCCTCCATATTGCTACTTGTGAAATATGCCCAGATATTAACATTTTTGTAGCAAAGAACCAGTGCCGGTGTTGTTATTGGCATTCATCTTTCCAATAGAGCGGATAATTAGTAGAGAACATGTTTTTGTTCTCACTTAATGTGAGGACCAGGTGAACAGTCTTGACCCTTTTACTGCTGGGTGAATAAAGCTTAGCATAACCCCCTGTTCTGAATTAATCCTGTAATGCTCATTTATGAAAATAAAGGGAAATCGAGTAGAAATTTGAATAATACATACTGCATACTAAATCTTGCATGATAAATTGGTTATGGCTGATCTAGATATATATTTACTATTCTTCAGTGGAGTAGAGTATTTATTTAGTTTATAAATTCCTGTGCAGGTGGCATACAAACACAGCAAGAGGTCTGACTTGTAGTTCATTGTGGTCACAAGGGATGGAAGTGTATGCCTGGCAGTTCTGTTGAACACATTAAGAACATTAGTTTGAACCGTACATGTTTCTGAAGCTTGCACCCGTAGGAATGAGTGCGCAGCAAGGGCGCCATGATGAACCATGCCTGTAGTATTGTGGGCTCAGCAGCATAAAGGTTAATATAAAAAACAATGCAGTGCCCAACCAACCTGAGTGTCCACACGTGCATTTGGCGGAGATAATGTCTGATACTTGCAGCAGAATCCATGAAATGTTTTACATAGATAAGTCAATAAGTAAGTTACAAATGGAAAAGAACTTAAACAAATAAGAGTACTGATTTGAAAAATGCTTTTATTTCTCAACATAATCTCCCTGTACATTGAGGCACTTGTCCCATCGTTTCACAAGCCCCTGAAAACCATCACCATAAAATTCTTTGGGCTGCTGTTGGAACCAGGTGGCGACTTCCTTTTACAGGGAACATTTACATCCTCAGGAAACTTCGTAAGGCCATTCAACGGAAGCGACCAGGACTCCTCACCACAGGCGTGTTCCCCTTGCGTGACAACGCGCGTCCCCATACTGCCAACAAGACAAATGAGACGCTGTGAAATTTCAAATGGGATGTCCTCGAGCATCCTCCATATAGCCCTGACCTTGCTCCAAGTGACTTCCATTTGTTCGGCCCTCTTCAACATCTTCCGGCTGAACATTTTCCTAATGTCGAAGCTGTAGAAAGGGAAGTCACTACCTGGTTCCGACAGCAGCTCAAAGTATTTTATGCTGCTGGTTTTAAGGGGCTTGTGAAACGATGGGACATGTGCTTCATTGTACAGGGAGATTATGTTGAGAAATGAAAGCATTTTTCAAATCAGTACCCTTATTTAAGTTCTATATCCATTTGTAACTTACTTATTGACTTACCCTCATAAATAAAAAATGAAACGATGGCTACTGTCCAAAAAGTCTGTAATTTTATTAATATACCATTGTCACAAAGATTTCCAGCTTTTGTGGTTAGAGGATGTTGTGTGGTCAATGCAACAAATCCCCATGGCCATAATTTCGGTTTTTTAAACTGGAGCGGCTATTTTCTTGAAATAGGTCCTCAGTTATTCTCACAAGGCTGAGTTGACCCTGTTCCAGACCCACTGCTTCTCAGAAAATTTAGTAGCGCCAGGAATCACCCCTGCGACCTCTGGATCTGTAGGCATGAATTCTTACCACTGATTTTGCCGACAAGGGCTGGTCACTCAGTGGGTATAGTTCGCTTGCAAACTAGAACTACAGAGTTTGTTTTGTTACAAACTTTCAGATCTGATTTGTGCTCTTCGTGTCTTATGCTCATCTTTGTTCCAACTTCATTAAAGGATGTGCCTCCCTGTTTATTTGGCTTATGTTTAAATGGCAGGCCTTAGAGTCTGTCACTTTGCGTTCTCTGGTGATGATTTGTCTAAAAAGGAGAGAATTGTTGAGGTTGTCTATCCATGGAACTTCTTTCTTTCCATGGCCTTGGTATAATTTGGCATTTAAGAAAAAGGTTAAGGGCCCTGGAATTTGTGTCTTATGCTATTAAATTCATTACAGATTCTCATTTCATCGGGATAAGGATGACAGTCAGGTACCACGTGTACTGAAGGGTGTTATGCGTGTCGGAGTCTTGGCTAAGGGTCTGCTCCTGCATGGTGATACAGCTGTGAATCTCGTCGTACTATGTGCAGAGAAGCCTACTAGGACTCTCCTTAATAAGGTGGTTGAGAATCTCCCCAAGCAGCTCCAGGTATGTATGATACTATTTCATTCATCTCTGTAGAGGTAGCAGATGAATTATGCCGCAGTTCCTAAATCCAAATACTGTATTGGGAATTGTACAATTCCTGCTTCAGAAGAGGACCTTCTAGGCCTTTGCAACAAGAAGTGCCTATTAGCTTTGCACTGCCTGTCTGAAGTACATACATTATGTCTGGTTCTCAGTTTCCTTAAGTCCTCTGCTGTTGAGGTGATTTATCTTATGCTTGGCTTACTTGTGTTAAAAACTGTTACAGCTGAAGAAATAGGCTTGATTTAACCTCTGAATTACAGACTTTTAAATTGTTGAGTCTGCTTCAGCCAGAAATCAAATGGCCCTAAGTCTTTAAAGTTACAGACTTTCAGAAAAAAATACGTATTTTCCATTCTATGCAATATAGAAATACAAACTAAAAACAGCATGAAAACAAAATTTTCTNTGTAGTTTTTCCTCAACTTCAGACATGTTGATTTTGTAAAAAATAATCACACTATATACTATAATCCTTTGTTCAGACTGTGCGCTAGTATAAACTGCGTCACTTCACAGTTTATTATAACTCCATTCAGTGCTCACACTCTGACATGCATGCACCACTGGTCAAAGCAGTCCTCAACACACAGACCAACATCACACTTTTTACAATAGAAGAGGGTGCTCCTGGTTTTCTTATTTAGCAAACGCACACGATGTCTTTGTTTCCCTTTGGATGGCCAGTGTTGCAAATGTTTCACCTCTGATGTTATATTTAAGCATCCTGTTGCACTTTATACAATATATGATATAACTCCATCCTAAGCACACGTAGTAAAGAGAAGCAGCGGCACGCACACAAGGAGACTACACAGAATAACACCTGTACAGTAGTAGAAACAAGAAGAAGCCGCTACAGCACTATAGACATAGGGTGAGTAAGCCTGACAATTTAAAATTTAGTGAAAAAATTTTTAAAGGATTTAAAATTAGAACTGAAGATTTTATAAGTGCCAATTCAGAGAAATCAAAATTGACGCGTGTAAATAACAAAGATATCATCAAAGTAGATTTTGGTAATAACGAAAGGAACAAGCAGGTAGACCTATGTTTTTAAATTTTAAATGTTATAAATAAGTGCAGTGTAACAGATACGTGAGTGTATACATGTGATGGCCGTTTGGGGCCGAAACATGTAGTGTATAAAGGCGAACAAAATGAAAGACCTATAAATATGGTTTTGCACTTAGGACAGAGTTATATCATGTATCATTTCACCTCTAGTCGACTCAAGTTTGTCCCCAGATGAACTTGGCCACTGACTGTGATATTCACCTCACGCGACTGTACAATCAAATCTTGTGCTAGGATTTTGATGCTTTTTTTATGTGTCATTTTTCCTCTACATGACTTCTGCAATGAATAGTCATGTCTAGAATGTGGAAAAACAGTTTCTTTGATTTCCATTGCCCGCAACTATTTACCATCCTATCATATTTATGCACAAAGCCCATATGTGCATTGTTGTCTTCAATGACTTTATACCTCTACCGAGGCACAAAATAAAAATGTTTTATAAGTAAATGGCAGTTGGATACTAACTTTCTGACTGATAATTCGCTACTGAAACAAATCCTTGAAAACGACCCACTTCCTTGCAAGATCAAGTAGCACTAATCAGCATGCTTAGATGAACATTTACTTCTCAGTTCTCAAGACAAAGGTGTGCTCTGTTTGGCTGACCCAGTCATAAACAGTCATATCTAAACGTAAATAATACAGAAGCCAGTACCGTGATAAACATTTTCATTGTTCACAGCCAAGGAATGAAGCACTGACTTGCATGGGTTTTTTTATTGGTTTCAACCGCAAGATCAAACTGTCAGCACTCCCAAAGAGAACGTATGCTGCAATATATAAATCTAACATGAGTGTGTTACTTGCTGTTAGATATACCTAACATTCCTACCTTAAAGGTTAATCACTTAATACAGGTATTTCTATCACCAGATATTAACAAGTGTGATATACATTGTCTGTTCCAAAAGTTGTGGAACTTTTGAAATAGCACGCCAGCTCAACGTCTTAGCAATATCAGGTAAGTTGTGCTGCCTAGTGGCGTGCTTCCTAATCATCATCTTTGTTGCGTCATCCCGCTGTGATTAGTCATCACCGTAGAGCTATTTGTTCGAGTGTGTCTTTTGATATTTGAGATAGCTGATATTCATGAGCAGCATATTAACATTAAGTTTTGCTTCAAACTAGGGAAAATTTATACACTCATGAAATTATGTAAAATGTTCACGGTGATGGGTGCATGACCCATACGCATTATGAATGTTTTAAGCAATTTGAGGATGGTCAGCAATCAAGACCTGATCTGCGTTTGGGATGGCCCTCAGCATTATGTGTCGACACTCATGTGCAAGTCAGGGCAAACAGTGAATGACTGGTATTATCTGGAAGTGCTGAAATGTCTAGGAGAAAATGTCAATAGAAAAAAAGCCTGTTACTGAGAAACAACTCCTGTGTCCTCCATCATAATAATTCACCAGCACATGCATTGCTACTGATTGTGACTTTTTGGCCAAGGCGAACACAACTGTGCTTCCTCAGCCACCCTACTCCCCTGACCTGGCCTAGCATGCTTTTTCTTATTTTTAAAACTGAAATCCACTTTAAAAGGCCTATGAGTCAGAGATTATGAAAAATTTGCAGTTGGAGCTACGCATGATTCTGAAAAAGGCACAACAGAATTGGAAGTGGCGCATCAGTGCAGGTGGGGAGTACTTTGAAGGCAGTAAGGCTCACTCAGTTGCAGGCATGTCTGAAAAAATAATAAAAAGAATAGTTCAAAAGTTCTTGAACAGGCCACATACCTATGTTTAGAGAAAATTACAGGCATTCAGGCTCTCTGTACCTTTGGTCATTTGAAGGTAATGTGAGGAAGTGTGGGGTTTCCTGTGCAACTGCCTTTACTCCATCAGCAGTGTAGGCATATATATCAGATTTGTGGTGGGGTCTGGCAGTCCGAAGGTTAAGCGAAAGGGATTTTTGTGCTCTTTTATCATTTCATAACCTTGCCACTCATCTGCCCCTTCTTTGAGCCAAAATTTTTGGGAAAGTGAATTTGAACGTTTATTTTTCAGTCTCAGACTCAGCAAGGGTTTGCAGATAAATTTTTCTTGTTTTGTCTAGTAGTACGCAAACTACCCGAACCATCAGAATTGTATTGTTGGCATTGCTATGATCTCAACAAAAACAGTCCCCCCATGCTACGCCTTTTCTCCGGTGAAAAAGGAAATTCGATTTTTAAAATAATTCTTATGAAAAGTTTCCATTGGTATTACTAGGGATTAGGATTACATTTTAGTGCATTGTGAATAGTAGACAGTATTCTTGAAAATCATTCAAATCTTTTGCATTGAAATAGTGATTCTTGCACATGCCTACTGTTTTACAGTATTTACACGACTAATCTTCCAATTTTTAACCTTTTTTTAGTACTGTTTGTTTACACAGGATTGAAGTGTATTTGTAAGGGTTCAGAAGCGTTTAATTTCCCTTTGCAGATCCATTATTGTAATAAGCTTTTATGTAATTTAATAGGAATGGAAAGCAGGTGAAAGAACACAGTTTATATTCTATAATTTTCCTGTTAGCTTTAGATATGGGGCACCGACTTTATACCTGGCAGAATTGAAGATGTAAAAACTTCTCTGTCCAACATGTGGCTATGTCAGGAACAACAGTATCACTGTCAGACTGGGTTCAGGCATTATGCAGATTAATTTTTCTTGGTGCTGTAAGATGGGAAGTATCACATTTAATTTCTCTGTTCCATACAGAATGTGCACAAATGATGTTTTGAAAATATATTGTGTAATAATCAGGCAAAATACATCCGAACATTTAGACGTTAAACTAGAACTGTAGGAATTGAAGTTAGTGTTTCAGGTGTTTAATGTGTGCAGGATTGGTAACCCTATAGGCTTCAAGCTGGTACTCCAGTTTCGTTCAGAGAACTTCCCCTTTACGTAAACAGCCTGTTGCACAGAACTGTTTATAAAATGCATAATTGGATGTCCCACAGAGATATTGGGTTTTCGGACTTTATCCATTGTCCTGGTTTTTAAGATATCTTAAAAACCAGGACAATGGATAAAGTCTGAAAACCCAATATCCCTGTGTGTTATACACCATCGTCAGAATCCTATAGTAACTACTTATAATTGGATGTCTTAGAAGTCCACTCCATGTTCAGTCCAATAATGTTGCTGCTCTTATTTTACACATTTGTTTTTATTAAACTGCTGGACTTAACGTCACTTTTGCCAAGATGTTACCGTTTTCTTGACTGTGGTGCGTCTTGCAGCAGTTCATCAGAACTGCATGTGCATTCTTCAGTTCAGACAGTTGGAATCTGACATCTGAAAATTCAGTTTTAACTTGCCTAATTATTTCACAGTCTGTTTCTGAAATTGCTCATCCTCTAAATGTATACCTCCCTACCCCTGTCTGTGCTCCATAACCTTACTGCCACTTATCTTCCAACAGTTGAAGTTTTCCTGATATTGCATTTCTGCATTTTGAGCAACTCATGACAATGTTCTATGGCCCTTGTAATCACCGACACATTGATACTAAGTGCAGTCTTTCAAGTCTTGAACCCAGAGCAAGATAAAAGCTGGAACATTTCGAAGTGCTACCAGCTGGAGAATATTTAACCCTCCATAATGGAGCTGAGCCCTTCTTGAGAAGCCGCAAGTTCTGCAGCTATTCAAGAATCTCTCTTAAGATTCGTTTTGATATTGTCCAGCCACCTACATCTTGGTCTTCCCGGTTTTCTCTTTCCTTCTGGCTATCCCTATATGCTATATGCATTCCTCATCTCCCCCCTTTGTGCTACATGCCCCGCCTATCTCATCCTCAACTTGATCATTCTAATTATACTTGGAGATGAGTACATGAAGCTCCTCATTATGCAGTTTTCTCCAACCTCTTGTCACTTCATCTCTCTTTGGTCCCTATATTTTCCTCAGACACCCTCAGCCTATGTTCCTCCCTTAATGTCAGAGACCAAGTTGAATATTTAACCCTGAGAATACTAATGTTCTCTGCTAGAGTTCATTCATGTTGTTCATATTCCAGGTTGTTGCTCCAGAAGATGCGTACAAGGTGCATCGAAAACTTGAAGAATCTGCTATTATTGTAATGGGAGTGAAAGAACCACATATCACTGTCACAATAACCCTGACATCCCCAATTATGCGTGAGCAGTTACTGACTCTTGAAGGAAGTGGTGGTAAGGAAACGAAAAAGAGCCATCATCGGCAGTGCAGGTACCATAGAGATAGCGAACCAGGGGCCCATTGCAAGATGGTGCGGCATGAAGGCTTGTTAGCATGTGTGTGCATTGGGCCCTCTTGTGCCGCCCAGATACTTATTTTTCAAAATCAGATCAAAGTTATCTCTCCAGTTCAAAGACTTTTAAGTTAGCAATGTTTCTAGTGAAGTGTAATGATTATAAAGGGAGAGAGAGATCATTGTGGCCCCTGGGATGATATTCTCCAAACATGCTAGCCTGATGGTGCATATATTGTTGGTATGAAAGACAGGCTAGCATATTCCAGGCCAAGAAAAGGATAAAATTCTGAAACCTTAAGTACATACTTAGGTAGGGTGATTAGTACATTTTGAGATCATGCTCCTATTCTTCCTTACTTGCTATCTGAGGTTGGATAAATTTTGTCACTGATAATGTTTGTTCTTTTCATGAGCCTGCTGTCTTACTGCTAAGGTTTCTAGGTATCCTGTCGACTTTACAGCCACCGAGAAGGGGAATCGTTGAACGCCGTGACAAATGGGAAGGATTTTTGACCATGCGGGAAAAAACAGTTTCATAGCTACTGGGTTTAGGTCATGACCTGAGTTGCAGCCATGCTTCAGTTGTAATTGTCAACATATTTCTGACCTCTAGGTACTGGTTGTGAGAAATGGCAATTGAATGAAGGTGGTAGAGATAGTTTTGAGCGTGTGTTGCAATTCGCCAATATAACCCAGAGAGAAATTTGTTTTGATTAATCATTACTCAAAAATTAATTTCCTCATGTGTTATATTAATTTTTTTTTCCAGTGTTTGCTTCTATTTCTTATTATCCACATTCAGTTGAAAATTATGTATTATATGTCTTTTTAAGTCAGCAGACCCACAGCCTCCCAGTGACTTCCAGCAGAAGATGCCATCATCTCATTCCTTGTGTAAACTCCTCAGTCATGCATCTGTGACCTACTCCCTAGACTTGAAACTGTTTTACTTACTGCTATGGTGAGGTGTGTTAAACCGCAATGGTCAAACACCCTTTGTAATTTTGTCTGATTGGCTGTTTTTCCATCTTTCTTCCCCGACCCTAGACTCAGTGTCTGTGAGTCAGGCGCAGGCCACCAAGGATCCGCCAGACGTGCTCGACAAGCAGAAATGTTTGGATGCCCTGGCAGCTTTGAGGCATGCCAAGTGGTTCCAGGTTTGAAGGAATTCCTCCTTTATGTTTAAATCAAGACAAAAGAAAATCAAATGTCAGATTAAATTATACTTTTCAGCCTTGTGTCTGTCAAGTTTTAACTTAGATATCACTTGAAGGATAGTGGAGATACAGGGTGGCGACTTTAAGTGTGTGCTGTTATCTTGGTGCAAGAAGTCATTCAGAGCTTAATCATTTCCCATCTTGCCTAAAATTTAGGTGGTCCTTGAAATGATTATTGTAAGGTGACATAAATGTTTAGAAGGGATAGTTGAACAAAAGGTGACTGGTCCTCAGAATGATTATTGTAAGGTGTTATAAAAGTTGGAGAAGGGATAGTTGAACAAAAGGTGACTGATTAAGAGAAATGGTTTCTTCTGCTTGAGATACAGATGCAACGCCTGAACAAGACGCACTGTGTTTCCATGATTCTTCACTTTTACCCTAAGCACATTTTGTAATAACTTCATGCAAAAACAGAAACTTGCTGTTTACTTTTTATCAGTAAATTATGAGTAATATAAGATTTTAACTACACCTACTTAGTAATATTTTCTGTCAGTATGCAGTTTATTACTACCACACATTTTTCTTAATGTAGTTATTCATACTATTGTATATATGTAAGTTTGTATGCAGTAATAGATTATTGCAGTTGGGTATTTGTTACACAAAAAGTCGTATAATTGGGTTTATATTTGAGAATGGATATACTTTGTTACATCTGATTTTTCATTGCTACTGTCAGTGTGAGATACATGAGGCTGGAAAGTTAGCAAATATACGCTCAAAAAGCGAATCCTCTTTGTTCCCAGGGCATTGTGTCACCATTGGGTTTGCAGTTAGTTCCATGTGCACTATGAATACATACCACAGTTCGTCCGTACTTATCGCAAGAAGTGTGCATGTTAGACATTTTCTGTTTAGTTATAAATGAAGAGGGAAAAAAGAAATAACTGGCAGTATTTTTTTGATTTAGTGTTGTTGGTTTGGGAGTTTTAATAGATTTGAAACTGATTTTTTGAGGGAGTATGAAGTGTGGTTAATGGCGTTTGTGGTTTAGCATGCACATCGGTCTAAATAAATGTTTTCAGCTGTAGGACGAACATTAGGTAAAAATATAAAATGTGTGGTGTGAATTTCTTTGCGTTGATAGAGTAATATATTCATCACCCATCACAGGCTAGGGCAACTGGACTGCAAAGCTGCGTGATGGTGATCCGAATCCTTCGAGATCTGTGTCAGCGAGTTCCCACCTGGGCGCCTCTTAACAGCTGGGTAAGAAAGTTTGTAAGGGGGGGGATTATTTTGGAGCCATGAAGATAATTGTTACTTAATGAAGTGTACTACAGGCTGTCTGAAGAAGAATGGGATGTTATCTGTGTGATCAGAAGTATTCACAATGTTGAAGATTCATATTGTGGTCATGTGGTTTATGACATTATGTAGTCTTATAGATGGATACCAATGTTTTGGAAGAACACTCTTCCTCCATCTTCAGGGTTGTCCTACCCTCAGTTTGCTTTCACCATCTTAAGAAAATCTGCGCATTTGACATTCATGCATATGTTGTATTGCAGGCGATGGAATTGCTCGTAGAGAAAGTTATTAGTTCAGCTGCACAGCCGCTGAGCCCTGGGGATGCACTGCGCCGAATTATGGAAGCACTGGCGTCTGGTATTCTTCTGCCAGGTGGACCAGGTCTCTTGGATCCATGTGAGAAGGATCCATCGGATGCTGCCGGGAACATGCTGCCTCAGCAGAGAGAGGATATTACTGCTTCAGCACAGGTTCATACTCTAAATAGTACATTTTTCATAAAAATTGAGTGCAGCAGTGAAATTTCTATCTAGGAGGAGTTACTATTTTAACCATTGCAATCCAGAAAAAAGAATTTTTAACCTCCCATTTCTATAGAGCTGGTGGTTAAAAATGTAACATTGATGTTAAAAAAAATCCTGACTGGATGACACGTCATAATAATGCATTGCACAACTGGTAAAGTTTGTTTTACCCTTCAATATGTTGCAGGTTTCTGCATTAAATTTATATGGGATTTCCTATTTTAATACAAAAATTTATTGTGCCTTTGAGAAACCTTACGTTTCTTTCTATATACCAGTTGGGGGAATTCAGTTAGGATTCCAGTGAACTGTGTTTTTTTGGTTTTGTCCTTCAGCATGCATTACGATTGATAGCCTTCCGTCAAATACACAAGGTGTTGGGAATGGATCCATTACCACCTCCAAAATTTACCCGTGGAAGATTCAATCGCAAACGTAGGCGTGATAATAGCAGTGGAGAAGGCAATGACTCTGAAGGTAAGGGCACAGTACTTTGGTTATTCCATTTATTCTGTGTGTATGTAAGTATCTGAAAATAACTTGCTTAGAGACATCAGAAAGTACAGTTGGAGAGTTCATAATATTATTAATATTTCTAGTAATTTGTGATGCAGATTTTGAAGTTGAACGAAATAAATTCATTTTGAGCAGTTCATGTTACATTTATAATTACTGGGTTCCTGGATTTTGTCCATCACAGAATAGCGTGACACAATGCATAAAATTTGAATGTATTTTCATTTTTAGTAGGGGGGGGGGGTCTGTTTTATATCTACTAAAAGAAGTTGCATTTATATGCATTGCTGCTTTTGAAATCATTTCTTGGGTTGGTAGGTTTTGTTTTGAATTTCCTTCTAGTTTTAACTTCAGAATTTAATTGGGTGTCCTCCACATTTTTTACAGATTTTCCTCTCAACCCCTTTTAACACAATCTGTTGCTAGGTGTTTTGTACATTTAGTTCAGTAATTGAGTTTATCTCTCTCTCTCTCTAATACGCACAGTTCAAGAATGTACTTCCCCATTTTTACGTCTGTGGACATGGGTCCAGTTTCTGAAACATGTTCAGAACAGCAGATGATGAACAAAGTTCTGAAAGCCCAGTATTCCTTGGTTGTTGTACAATGTATGTTATACTATTTAATTTACTTCACAGCTGGAGATGGGAAAAAGGATAAGAAGGAGGATGTTGATGAAAAGATGGAGACAGAGAAAAGTGGAAAGTGAACAACCATGCATATATGAATCAGTGAATGTTGCAGTAGCATTCTTAAAAATATGTCATCTTAGAACAATATTGTGTGAAGAAGTCACTCACCTCTTTTCTGTTTAGTGTTTTTCATGTGCCTGTAAACCTTTGGCAGTTGCAGTCATACATGCTGCAGTTTATTAGAATTTTGCACATAATTGTTCTCATTGCAGTCAGTTGCGTATATACTTTGATAACATTGTCACCTTATTCATACCAAGCGCCACATGACTATTGTAAGACATTTTTCTTCGCGAATTGATACATCTTGGTTAGCTGAAGTATGAAGTTCCAGCCAATAAGTCTTGGGATGCTTTTAATTCTGTTAGAGAATTATTTTTGACTTAGTGGTGAGTAACTAAGCTGTAGGAAACATTTCTGTGTTTAATGAGTGAATATTTTAAGGTTTCCAAGTTATCATTCCTTTGATGCAAATTCCATTTGTCACTGTATTTGCCATTGTGAATAAAAATAGAATAATTTGTTTCCATTATCTCATATCTTGTAATATAAGAAAGTTCATTGGCAGTTTATAATTGATGGAATTTTTGTTACTTCTGCACAGTATAATCAAAAATTTGTCACAGGGTCATGAGCAGCATTGTTACTGTTAACAGAAATGGTGCTGGATTGGGAATGGCTGTAAATAGAAGCTAAAAACCAACCTGGTTGTTTGATTGAGCAAGAATGTCCTTTTTTAAATATCATGTCTTTTGGAAATATATCAGACCTATTACGTATGTTTCCATGCTTGAAGCAAATTGAATGAATGAATGAATATGGTCTTGGCATGAAAGGCAAATGTTAACTTTTAATTTGTGAATGTATATTCATCTGAGACTTTTTTGTTGTGTCTGCTGAATAATACATAGTTAAGACTTGTTTAACTGATAAAAACTGACCTACCAATTTCTCGCTGCTTACCAAACACTTGACCTTCTGAAAATATATCTTTTGTAAATTGAAGAGACTACAACTGCCTAATCTAGAATGGATTCGTAGTTCTCGAAATAGTGACTGTCATTCATCGCATAGAACATACACAGGATGTTTCTGGATGACTATGTTCAAAATAACTTTTGTTGTTATTCTTCATCCACAGCCAAGCTAGTGCAGTTTATGGAGACTAGGCTTTTTTTTCCTGAGAGAGACAACATTCACATCTTCTCTGAGGCCTCTCATCCTCCATTTGCATGATGGCTAATTGAGCACAAGGACTTCTTGAATATGTTCAGCCAGTCCAGGCCCTAACAAAACAGTTTAAAGAAAACAGTAATTTGCTTCATGCAATGAAGGTATATGGAACTGGAGGTATAGCTTCCCCATATTTGACTGTGGTACTAGATGGAGGTTAGAGGTCAGTTTCACAGCCTGGCCGCTTTACTCCAGAATAAAGAGCCCCTCAGTGTCCTTTGGATAGGAGGCTGAGTGGAGCTGGTCTGGTCACTGCAGCAAAAAAAAAAATCTCTTGCCCCTGCCTGGAATTGAATGCAGGCTGTCCAGCACATAGCCCGTGGCTGTACCAACTGAACTATCCCAGCTTCACTAAGGTGCCGTAGACAATGAATGTTGTTTGAATATGTGTACAGATTGTAGCTTGTGACTGTACTGACAGCTATCCCAATGCAAGGTAAAATGTAAAGCTGATTAAATTTCTCATAAGGTTTTAAGATTGTTATACCCAAATGGAACTGAGCTCTTCTTGAGAAGCCACCAGTTACACATCTACTCAAGGTTTTGTTAACATTCCATGGAACCCGAAAGTTCATTACTGTGTACACAAGTTCTCCATTGGTCCCAGTTCTGAGCCACATGAATCCAATACATCTCTATCCTTATTTGCTAGGCTCCTATATGCATTCTTCTCCCAACGCATGCTATGCCCTGTGCCCGTTTCCTCAACTTGATTATTCAATTACATTTGGGAGAGAATATAAGTTAACAAAGGTTGAGTAGGTAGTAGAGAACACGTTTTAAATGACAGATGCTGTTATTTTCAAATGTCACTATACAAAAATGCCATGATAACTTGATGTATGAACTTCACTGTGGACTGGACAGTTTAGAATGGAGGTCGTTTTTCTTCTGTGTGAAGTGGGTGCCAGGAGATTGTTTCTCAAGGATAAGATGAAAATGATGACTCATCAGTGCTGAGGAGTTTATTTCCCCCAGGTATCTTGTAGTGCTTGATCACAGAAATTTCCAGTTCCCCATGATAGATCGTTGTGTCTAAAACGGCCCGTGTTTTAATGTATAAGAATCCAAAATAATGTAATTTGTGAATGAGCTGATTTTTATTGGTCGCTTTTACTTTATTATGTTGGCAAAAAGATGCACCTCAAGATTTTGACAAATTTATGCTGTCTTTGACACCTCTGTAGTGCCTGCACAATTGATTGGCTGTTATTCACATTTGGCATTTAAGGGTTAACTAATTATAGATCGGTGGTTAATGAAAATAGCTCCAAAAGTAGGGGTCTGTAGACAGGTTGCTATATTGAAAATGGCCCCAAAATGGTGTTAAATATTATTAATTTAATGAGACTATCTGCCAAGAAAACTGTAGATGACATTGAAGAAAGCAGTCTTCTGGGATTTGGCACCGTGTATATGTGGTGTTAACCGACGTTTCGGAGGAACCTCAAATCTTACATATGTAGATGACATTGTCAAGAAAGCAATGGTCTCCTGTCTAAGAGTATGTCCTGTGTTGTAACACTGAAAATCAAAAAGTGGGTACGTTTAAAAGGCAAAACTATCGACACTGAATAAAGAGTTGGCCCTGTGCTTAACTAAAACACTTCCTGACGACGTATGGGGAGTGGAATGTATAGATCACTTCTTCCCTGGCCTCAACAAGTTGGGAGGTGAGTGGTCAGCTTCAAGCCGTGGCCGCTTTGCTCCCAGATAAATAGCTGCCAGTACCTTCCAGGTGGGAGGTTAAGTAGGCTGTAGAACCATTATGGACGTGGGGAAGATTCTTTATCCCATGGACCTGAACCCCGCCCCTTGCACACCCATTAAATATACCAATTGCGCCATTGAGGCATACTGCAGAGAACTGGAAACCTCATTGTGGGCTGTGGGTTGGTTATGGGAGTCTTAACAGACTGCATAGTGGTGCAGACCTTATTTCCAGAATAATACCTCAACACTGACAGAAACTGACAATTCACATTGTTTTCACTACAGACAAAATTGCCACCGTTTTACCAGTTGTGGCAAAATCCATAATTTTCCGAGGATATAATTATAGTTCTGTATGGCCCAGAATTGGGTGCTTCGTTGAACAGCATGAAGCCGTTAGTCTTCATAATAGATGTTTCCTTTTCTGTCAGGTAAGTGAATTTTTATTATATATTCGTATTGCTTAGGGATCCTTGATAGACCACTGTGAAATTTGCATATCAACAGACAGACATCTCCATGAGAAAGCAAAGGGCATACACATCGCTGAAATAAAATTCTTGAAATTGTGGCTTTCTGGGCCAATACTATCTTAACCTGGGGATCGGTGTCAGTAGTGAAGATACTCTTCTGCCTTAACGTCGAAAGTAGCAAAAAAAAAAAAGGTATCTTTTATCGCGTGGAAATTTACTCTAGCAATCAATTTCATCGAGGGGTATTTCATGTTAAAGCCAGTCTGGGTTTTGGGGAAATATTCCTGTAAATCTGACTATCAGTCGACAAAAATGTTTTATTTTATGAAGCAAGAAAGTTAAAAGGACTCCACGTTTCGTTGGCTCAGTATGCACATTGAATATATGAGCGCGAGAATACTTACAAACCCATTTAAAAAAAAACTGGGAATATTTATTTAGCCACGACAATGCCGAAACAAGCGCCGTGCGGAACAGCATAGTTTTATGAGTGTTATGTCAACAATGAGAGGAATTAGCACGTAATGGTATTTTTTTACCGTAGGCTGCAGGATATTCGATGGTCACGTTAACATGCTTATCCATATTCTTTATTGCTAGTGAGGTGGGACTCAGTCCCTTGTACAGCTGCCACCTTTGGCCTATTTTACCAGCTCCAGATAGGTGAGGGTGATTGTGGAGCAATTGGTGGAATGAAGATTGCCAGGGGAAACCGGAGTACTGTGAATAAACCTGCCCCAGCGCCGCTTTGTCCACCACAAATCCCACTTGAACCATGTCGCAGCCATGTTTATCCATAGTTTGCAGCAACAAAGTGAATTTATCTGTAAACGATGTATCGTTTTGGCGGCATGCTGCGAGTGAATTCCGGGGAAAAGAGAGTTCTGCAGCAGATGTGTGACCGAACCCATCATGTCTTTGGCTATTTCTGAATGGTTGGCAGCAGTGGGTGATATACTACAAATATGGTGGTACATCATCGCAGTCACGGAATACGAATAGAAAATTGCGCTCATCACAGAGGATCGTAAAGTTAACCTTGTGGGGCCGAGCCCTTCTTGAGAAGCCGCCGGTTGTGCCAAGAACTTGCCAACATTTTATGGAACCCAATTGTTAATCACCGTGTTCACAAGGAGTCTTCAATTGTTCCCTGTCCTGAGCCAGGTCAATCCAGATCCAGTCGATCTAGTCGTTCAAGATCGATGCAGGCCTTGTGTAGATGTGTAACGTGTAGTGGCGTGTGTGGTGTGTAATGGTACGCGAGGAGAAATGCTCGTCGCTATGGCAGGAATGCATGTAAATGCAAAATTCTGTATCGTGTGTATGGCATCTACGAGTAAACATGTGAAGGAAGGGAACGTTTTGGTCATTCTAAATGGAATGCATGTAAATGCAAAATTCCGTATCGTGTGTATGGCATCTACGAGTAAACATGTGAAGGAAGGGAACGTTCTGGACATTCTAAATGGGTCAGACGAGTGTCTTATTAGTGACAGCAATGAAAATGATACTGATGAGTGTGATGATGACATTGCGGAAGGTGATTCTGCTGTTCAAGAGAATTGTGAGGTGGAGGAAGAAGACAAACGTCATTTTCTTGGCGTTGCCGACAGTAACAGTGGCCCTAATTGGGAGGATGTGGGCAGTTATCATGGACAACGTGAATTATTTTCTGGACATTCTGGACCCCAAAACTCTGCAATAAATGTCCAAGGTCTTTTGTCTGTTTGTTATTCTTCATGACATTGCAGTAGGTGATTCTGCTGTTGAAAAGAATCGTGAGGCGGAGGAAGAAGCTAAACGTCTTTTTCTTGGCGATGCTGACCATTACAATGGCCTTATTTGAGAGGATGTGGACAATTATCATGGACAACGGGAATTATTTTCTGGTCATTCTGGACCCCAAAACTCTGCAATAAATGTTGAAGGTATTTTGTCTGTTTGTTATTCTTCATTAGAGACGTGGTTCATAAAACTTTTGTGGAAACAAGTATTTATGCAGAACAATTTAGAATTCTAAAGGGAGACTTTTTACTTTGAGATCTCCAGTAACAGAAAATGATTTTTATGTTGTGTTAGGTTTGTATTTCCTAATGGGGATCATTCAAAATCCCACTTTTTGAACATATTTTTCAAGAAAGAGAATTCTTTCAACTCCAGAATTTGGTGATGTGATATCAAGAGACGGACTTCAACAAAAAATGAAATTCTTACATTCTGAAGACAATACTAACAAAGCAAATTATGAAAGCCCTGTGTAATTTTACAGACTCTTTCCTTTCCT